TCCACAATTTATTTAGTAGCTTGTCCTGGTGGCATTTTATGTGACTGACTGTGTAGTCAACTTGTTCAAACAATCTCTGATCAATTCCGAGAAGCTTTTCCCTCGTAAAGAATTAAAGTACAATACGGAAGACTCCACGACCAAAATTCTTCGCATCCCTATAGTCATCACTTCAGGACTATACTCTTAAACCCAACAGGAAATACAACAGATAACTGTACTTCTGACCAGGCGCAAGCACTCAATTAACCAATGAAGAGCAGAGAGATCTTATGAAACTGAAGAATAAAAGAACCTCGTTATAATTCCAGCTGACAAAGGGGGCACCACAGTAGTCAGGGACAAAGATGACTACATCAAAAAAGGTGGAATAATTACTGATGGACCGAAATGTATATCAAACAATGGAGACAAATCCTATCTAAAGGTCTGATAACCAAATCACTGAGACCTTCCTAAAAACTCGTCAAAGTAGGACAAGTTACAAAACAAGATCAATGGCAAATGAAATTCCGTGGGTTTGTTCTACGACTTTTCTATGGTAGACCAAAAATATACAAACCAAACATCTCATTACGACCAACTGTTTCACTTTCAAGGAACTTCAACATAAAATCTTTCAAAAGAACTCTTCAGAAAATTAAAACAATCTGGTAGAATCATGCGATTATTCTATCAGCTGTCTATACAGTTTTGGAAAAGAACAGGCCTACTGATATTGGCAACCACGAACTGATGGTGTCTTTTGACGTTACAGCTCTACGTACCAACTTAACTACATCTAGCTAAGGATACAATGACACTTCTTCTCAACAGTGATGCACGCCGCTTGGAACGCATACAACTACGATATTCATGTTTGTTGGAGGTAATTAAATTATACATCACAACATGTTTTCAGCTCAATGAGAAACTCTATAAACAGACGAAGGAAACACCAATGAGATCACCGATATCAGGACTAATTGCACAAGCAGTGATGCAAAGATTGGAGACTGTGGTATTGACATTTGTCAAAGCAAAATTTCAGCTCTGGTATATGGATGACACGTCTGTCATAATTCGAGGAAACGATTTGTAAAACGCTTACAAATTATTCGACGATGTTTTCGACGACAGCGAACTCACAACTGCAGAGGAAGTAAGCAATACACTTGCATTTGCCGATGTTCTGATCACTGGAACAAATTAGGAGGAATTAGAAACACAGAGAACTAACTCTCACGGATCAAATCATCAACTACAAAATAGCAACAACCCAACAGCACTCAAAATCAGCTGTATAAAAACATTCTTGAAAAGAGTGAAAACACACTGTACTAGCTCAACTCTATGGAGAAAAGAAGAAAACTATTTGATGACTGTTTTCTAGAAGAGCGACTATCCATGCAACTTCATCCAAATGTGTTTAAACAATTCATCATCAACAAGAAATCAACCTCAAAAACTAACAAACGGATTGTCCTGCTTTACATGAAGAACGTTTCTGAGATTACGACTAGATCATTGAAGACTTTTGAAATCACTGTATCTCACAAGACCATAAAATCTCTTTACTCTCTGTTAAAGGTTGTCTACTAAAACTGTGAAAAACACCACATCAGTCTGAGTGGTTACCCTCTTCGTCTCCGTCCGTATGAACATCAACTAGCAGTGAAGTGTGATGACATATCTGGGTTCATATCAATGCACACAGACAACTGTGGACATGAATTTGACTGGGAAAATGTGAAATTCCTGGGGAGTGGAAATACATAGAATGCCAGAGAATTTTTAGAAGCTTGGTATTCAAGGCATTTAGTGATCATTAGCATTGACCAATCTATCAACCAATCAGAAAACAACAAGAAGATCAAATTTCGGGTCATCAGGACAACCAATCAAATTAAATGTGGGAAAACGACTAGACCAGGCAAAAGCAACCAATCACATGAGATGTCATCAAGACGAGCTAGTAAATAAACTGTGGAAAAATCCCTATTAATCACTTCTTTAGGAAGTTGTTGCTCATGATGTTGTTCATAATAACAATGAAAGCTCCACGATTAAACCCTTCAGCTTGGAGAACAAAACGCTATCAAACTTATCTCCTTAAGCTATCAATATTCTCCAATCACCTCATAATTAGCATGAAACTTTTCAGCCAGTGTAAGATGACGTGATCACTCTTCTATAGAACAATGATCACACACGTACTTCGATAATTTTTTACTTACTATTTATCTGAATCAATTAAAAGAACTACTGATTTTATTTGCAAGCAGTATGAAAATTACATTTGACAGTGAACATTTCCATTGTATTGATGGTGTTGCCAAGAGAATTTCCATGGATCCCCTTTTGGCAGATATTAATATCAACACATGGAAAACTTAGAGAAGAGCTTAACTGAGAAAGTCTATATATGTCGAAAATATATCGATAATATCCTAATTATATGTGATCAGACGAGTCATTCCACTTCACTTGTAAACTAACTAGACGAAGCACACGACGGCATATCCTTGACATGTGTAGAAAAGAAAGGTCATTCCCTATCTTCCCTGGTCATATTAATTAGCTGATAACAGGATGGACTTATAAAACGATCCATCCACAGGGCATAACTTTTTTCTAGTTCAATATAAGTGAGTGTTAGTCAGGTGCTTATTCAATCGAATCCAATGACTATGCACATATGATGCTCTGGAAGACAAGACAAGAACATTAAGTAAAATATTGTTTGAAGATAACTGTTCATCAAAATTTATTAGTCGGTACAAAGTAGCCAGAGTGTCGAAACCCACTTCTCGCCTATCTTCCGTGTACAACTGACCCTCATAGCACAGTCCTAACGCTTCTGTTAGAAGGACTTTCCATGCCTCTAGGGTCTAATTATCAGAAAACATCAAGAAATTCGCTATCACATTAAACCTCCCTCAGTGAATTCAACACTGACATGAGGTTCGATGTAAATTTATTTTCTCTCTATTGATTTTTATTGTAGTTTTGGTTTTCGATTTTGGCTTGCTACCTGATCTCTTTTAATCCTGTTGCCTCCATCACTTGGTAACCTTTCAGGTAAGAGCCTGTGATAAGCAAATATGTGGTCAGCTTGTTCGAAATGTGTTGCGCAAATGCCGTAAACGATTCAGACAAATTATATATTCTTACTGTTTTGCCTAAGTTTCTCTCTTAAATAATTATCCTCTTTTAATATAAGCTATGATCATAATATTGAAAAACAATCCACACTTTTTTGTAAGTGCGTAAACCTACATTGTTCTACAATTTTTGAGAAGTAGGAGGTATACTTTTTGCAGCATACCACTATAAATTAAAGTGGACGAAAATGATATGAAAGTTTTTAACTACTTATAAGTAGCTCCCGTTTTTGAGCTAAATAAATAAGGCTTTACCAACTAAATGGCACCTGTTGTTTAAATAAGCCTGAAAAACAATAATTACCGGACAGAATAAAGAACAAAAAATCACCACTCAAGTTTTCCTCACTTTCTGAGGCCACAACTTCGATTATGGAAACGAGGTTAAAAGCATATGTAGATATAGAACTAAGTTAGAATAAGAGTAAAACTGGTGCACTGTGGTAGAATGTAATTCCGTTTTTATTGATTTATTAGATTTATCACACAATGAAGGAACAGTATTGTTTACTGGATTACCTTTCGGACATAATTTATTGTCCATAGTCATACCAAGATAACTACACAACTTTGAGCCATCCTTTATATAGTCCTAATTTCCTCGTCTCTTTGTGAGATGGGCAGTAGGATTTTCTGTATATCTGGAACAGGTGCTGAATCATTCCTGTTGCTGAATGTGTTAGATGTTGATTCGATAAACAAAGATTTAGATATCAACCTCTCCCCCCACCCTGTTATGTTAGTTTTAAGGATTTTCACCCTGTCCTATCCTATTATGTGGTTGTGTGTAATCGCATGTGTAGCTATGAGTGAACTTTTCTCTAAATTCCTTACCTTATTAGGATCTACCAGTTTTGATGTGACTAGTTTTTGTGTTTGGATAGGCTAATTGACCGTGGTCGACTACTTTGACCTATGTATTTGACACCACAATTGTTGCAAAGGATTTAGTAAACCAAGTTATTCTATCTAACTGGGTCAATAGGATCTTTTAACCTACAAAGTCTACTTCAAAGTGAGTTTGTAGGTTTAAATGCCACTCTAATCCTAGTCGGCTTTATTGAGAATTCTAAGTAGTGTTTCTGAGGTGCCTCCTTTGTATGGTAATACTGTGGAGGTTTTGAATTTCCTATTCACAGTACTGCAGCTACTATTATTAACATCATTATCAATACAATTACTACTGTTATTGTTGCTGTTATTACCACTATTATTACTACTATCGATAACTGTGTTACTGATATTTTTCTTACAATTCCTAAGGAACTTATCAATTAATTTGGGAAGGTAATTATCGATGATTAAGGCGTCTTTAATGTATCCAGTTTTTTGTTTTAGATCTTCTGTTTTACGAGTAAGTTTTTTGACCCTGTTATTTAGACACTTTACTAAACCAACTTTAACTGACATAGGGTGAGACGATCTATATGGTTTTATTAGATAGTTAGTATCAAATGGTAGAAATCTCTACTCGATGCTGATTTCGTGTTTCTTGACACTCATCAGCAATTCGTAACATCGAGCATGAAAAAACTAGTTTTCCTCCGGTGTTTTGAATCAGAATCATTCATTGCTGAAGTGGGAGAATTTACCACCAAGAAATTCCACTCACCGTTGACTCTCTGTACAACTATATTATGTACATCAGTTGACCTCCAGTGGGTAAGTCACGCCACTGTCTAGTCTATAAAGCTTATGTACATTGGTTTCCCACTGGTAACCGATTCGAGAACAGCCTAAACGCGTAATTTGTAGCTCGTTCCCGATCAACTACCACATATCATCTTGTGTCTTTCATCCTTTCCGTAGTTTAAGGACATTTGATAAAAATTTAAAGCTTTCCCATTGATTTATTACCTTTAAAACCAAGTCATCTTCAGTTTCTTTATCAAATGCATACAGGACTCGTGCACGTGGTCTCTGCTCCATAAATCTAGCCAACTCATTTGTATTGTCTATAACTCGAACATTGGAGATATTTACTAAACCCGGTACACCAAACCAATTTTCACACTTTATCCACTGGTCATTTGTTGATGATGATGCTGACAAGATGGACGAATGGTTGATATTTGCTTGGTCTGGTTTAGAAGTTAACTCAATACACCTCAGGATATCACCAACCTATAGAATGATCAACAAAGCAAGATGGGAAAGTTTAACGTACGAATTTTGTTCAGTAAGAAATTTGCGAAATTAAGCCATGATCAATATTCATTAAACCTCTATTACATGTTTTTATAGACGTGTCTGCTTTTGACTTTGTCCGTAGGTTGATCTCATAAAAGGAGCTTGTCGTGGCACATGCTGATAGCTCAGTCACACATTAGATGTAACAATATCGACAGGTGAAAACTAACAAGTTGACAGAAGAGGCGAGGCAGGGCAGCGAAGACGGGACTTCAAGTGAATATAGAGAACACAGAGGTGATGACAAAACCCAACCAACACCACCAACAATAAGCTCCAGTCACCATCAATGGGAGAAACTTAAAGGAAGAAGCCTCTTTCACCTATCTAGGCAGCATTGTTTCAACTACAGGCAGTGGTGACACAGAAAAGGACGTCAAAACCTGGATCGGAAAGACAGCAGCATAGGCGTTTATTAACCTGAAACCAGTGTGGAGATCTACTGCACTCCACTCCACTCCACTCCACTCAGCATAAAGCGTGAACAACATCCGGTTTCCCAACACTAATTCAGTCAAGTAAGTCAGTGCTTCTATGTGATGGTTGAGAGACTTGGCGCGTTACGAAAGGGATTTCCAACAAAGTAGTAATATTCAGCAACAACTGCCTGCGCTCACTGGACACTGACACTGAAGATCAGATGGTCAGAAAGAGCAAACAACAAGGAACTCTGGCTGGCTGGCTGGCTGGCTGGCTGGCTGGCTGGCTGGCTGGCTGGCTGGCTGGCTGGCTGGCTGGCTGGCTGGCTGGCTGGCTGGCTGGCTGGCTGGCTGGCTGGCTGGCTGGCTGGCTGGCTGGCTGGCTGGCTGGCTGGCTGGCTGGCTGGCTGGCTGGCTGGCTGGCTGGCTGGCTGGCTGGCTGGCTGGCTGGCTGGCTGGCTGGCTGGCTGGCTGGCTGGCTGGCTGGCTGGCTGGCTGGCTGGCTGGCTGGCTGGCTGGCTGGCTGGCTGGCTGGCTGGCTGGCTGGTCTGGTAACGAATCAACCAAGAACCCATCACTCAACAAATATGCAGAGGAAGAGAGTGGAGATGAATTGGGCATGCACTGAGAAAACCATTCGAGGACATCCCTCACCCAGCCAGCCACTCAAGTGAAACCCAGATGGGAAACGACTAGTTGGGTGTCGGTGCAGAGGGTGACATGTAAGAGATGATATGAGGAAGGAATGAGAGTTTGTGGGCAGTCGTAGAGCCAGGTTGGAAAGATTGCAGAGAACAGAGTGTAAAGGAGATGTGCTACTGAATCCCTATGTTCGACTAGAAACTCAAGGGATAAATATTGATAATGATAACAATATTTTTCCAAAACTCCGCAGTACATTGTAAATAAAAAAGAAACCTTCTACTCCACTGCTTGCTGAAGGTAGCGTACATCAATGTAATCTTCTGCTTTGTTTCTTCCTATGTACTTTACCTGGTTCTATACATGTTGGACTTCAATTGATAACCGATGCATCTATCTAGTCTGTTTATCAGGGCTATCTATGGATCACCGCCAACCAAGTAACGCTGATCAAGTTTGGAATATGACCACTTAGCTAAGCGATGCAATACTGTGGTGCACTGTACTTTGGTGTTTCTAAGGCGGTATTTATCCGGGGCTGACACCACTTAGAAGACCACTGAAAGCCTTGAATGTTACCTTTCTCAAAATGATTGTTTCTTCTGATCTTTTTCAATCACCTTATATCTTGTGAACTTCTGAAAAATCTTTCGTTTGACGTACTACACAAAGATGCTGAGACTTTTGGACGTGACTTCACTACTACTTTTGAGATTTAGAAATTCTTCCACCTATTCTTTCCATTGTTCCCACTTCCTTTTATCTTGGCTGTTGGACAAGACATAGCTGTATTGCATAGGACTTTGAAAGTTTTAAATGAGGATACGCTGGACCGCGGAAAAGAACCTAAAAGATTTGGATTTCGCCCATGACTTGTGCCTGATGTCACATAAACTTGAAGATCTACAGGCGAAAACTAACAAGTTGACAGAAGAGGCGAGGCAGAGCAGCCAAGACGGGACTTCAAGTGAATATAGAGAACACAGAGGTAATGAAGATACCCAACCAACAACAACAACAATAAGCTCCAGTCACCATCAACGAGAGAAACTTAAAGGAAGTAACCTCCTTCACCTATCTAGGAAGCACTGTTTCAACTACAGGCGACACAGGCACAGATGAGGATGTCAAAGTCAGAATCGGAAAAACAGCAAGACAGGCCTTCATTAGCCTGAAACCAGTGTGGAGATTTTCTGCACTCCACTCAGCATGTGGAACAAGATACGGATTTTCAACACCAACTTCAAGTCAGTGCTTCTATGTGATGGTTGAGAGACTTGGCGCGTCACGAAAGGGATTTCCAATAAACTACAGACATTCATCAACAACTGCCACCTACGCTGGCTCGCTACTGAAGATCAGATGGATTGCCAGAAAGAACAAGCAACAAGGAGCTTTGGGAACGAACCAACCAAGAACCTATCACGCAACAAATATGCAGGAGGAAATGGAGGTGGATTGTGTTGGGCATACACTGAGAAGGCCGACTGGGGACATCAAGCATCAGGCCAGTTACTCCAGTGGAATCCCCATGGGAAGCGACGAGTTGGTTGTCCGAGACGAGGGTGACAAGGAGGAGATCGTGCGAGGAGGAAATGAGAGCTTGTGGGCTGTCGTGGAACCAGATTCAAAAGATCTTGGAGAACAGAGTTCACTGGAGACGTGCTACTGAAGCCTTATGTTCCATTAGGAACCCAAGGGACTAATATAAATAGTAATACTTAATTTAAATTCACTTGGAAACAGAAGGCTATTGTTGGGGACTGTAGTCTATGAGATATGGTATGAGATATGATACTTAGGACTGTTACTCAATAATGCCTAATTCAATATTGACTGAATGACTTGATGAAATTTTGAAACATGCTAATTGAGAATAGAAATATAGTTCAACAACAACTTACACTTGTAGACTGCACTTTAAACTAGACTGTTTATGTATGATCTGGTCGTTCAATACTAGTTGGATTAAGGAGGCTTAAAATCTCTCCTCATGTAATCAGCATTAAGATACTTTTACAAGAGTAAAGGTTTTTCAAAATGATTGTCACGATGTGTCAGACTGGTAATGTGTTCATCACGAAAGCTGAAAGTTTTGGCCTCAATTTCGGATGAGATCGTGATACACGCTGAGGAGGAGTCTCATACTAGAGCAAAACAGATGTTCAATACTTCAAGGTTTTTTTGTATGGTATTAACAAAAACTTCAAGAAGAAGTAGGATATAAGAAAGTTTTCACAACTAACTTAATAGTTCGCACTTTTTTCTGAAAGATTCACAGTAACACCTATCACCCTAGAGAACTTTAATACCATCGAATACTAATACTCTCTGCTCTATTATTTTCATTCATATCTGAATTTGGTATTTCTGAGGAGCTTCGACATTTGAGGATATAATTACAGATAATATAAAAGTACAAGTTACCTTTTAAATCCTAAAAGTTATTTAATTACTTTTGTGAAAAGAATTCATATGATTACTGGAGTTAAATGAAACCCCCACCAAATACTGAATCAAATTGCTTTATATTTGTACACAGGTGGATGGGCTTTAATACTGACACATAGAGGCACTCTTAGAGTATTCGCTATGATGTAATTTACTTGCCGGTTAATGGTAGAATCCAGAATCCGCGTTCCGTTCTATTTGGTACTTGTCAACTGGATATCTCTTGACCCCATTATGTAATGATGTTCCAGTTGAGACGAAGATAATACCCAATGTTTCAAACTCCAAACAGCTAATCACTAGGCTACATAAACACAGTGAATATCTCTTGTACAATGGGTAATAATCGTTGTTGCACAACATCTTCAATCGAAATAGCTATAGGAAATCGACTCTTCGCCTTCTCCAGAAGATATCAGAAGAAAATTGCAAATAATAAGGATGTACTGCATCCAATAACATGAATACTATCGGTCGCCTGTATAAGTTCAAGCGTTCATCCATGACATAATGGATCAAATGAATCATACAGAGATATGCCATTGTTATTATGATTATTATTTGTCCCTTGGGTTCCTAATGCAACATAAGGCTTCAGTAACACGCGCTCTGTTCTCCGAAATCTTTCGAACCTCACCCCACAACTGCCCACAGGCTCTCATTTCCTCCTCGCACGATCTCCTCCATGTCACCCTCTCCTCCAACGCCCAACTCGTCACTTCCCATCTAGGTTCCACTCCAGCCACCGGCTTGACACGTGATGTCCCCAGTCGGTCTTCTCAGTGTATGCCCAACACAACCAATCTCCACTTCCTTCTGCATATTTGTTCAGCGATAGGTTCTTGGTTGGTTCACTCCCAGAGTTCCTTCTTGCTTATTATGATCATTTTCGCCATCTGATCTTCAGTAACGAACCAGTGTAGGCAGTTGTTGATGAATATCACTACTTTGTTGGAAATCCCTTTCGTAACGCGCCAAGTCTCTCAACCATCACATAGAAGCACTGACTTACTTGACTGAATTAGTGTTGGGAAACCGGATGTTGTTCACGCTTTATGCTGAGTGGAGTGGAGTGGAGTGGAGTGCAGTAGATCTCCAGACTAATTTCAGGCTAATGAACGCCTGTCTTGCTGTCTTTTCTATCCTGGTTTTGACGTCCTTTTCTGTGCCGCCGCCACCACCTGTAGTTGAAACGATGCTGCCAACGTGTGTAGGTGAAAGAGGCTACTTCCTTTAAGTTTCTCCCATTGATGGTGATTATCGCTTGTTGGTGGTGATGGTGGTGGTTGTGGTGTTGTTGTTGGTTGGGTATCTTCATCACCTCTGTGTTCTCTACGTTCACTTGAATTCCCATCTTCGCTGCCATGTCTCTGCTGTCAACTTGTTGGATTTTGCGTGTAGATCTCCGAGTTTTTGTGTCAT